ATCTGATAAAATGTGAAAGAATCTGAAAGACAGAACGGAAGAAAAACGGAAAGAATTGAAACATTTTTTAAAGAATCTGGAGCGATTTAGAAGGACTTAGTGATTTGAAATGGGGTAAACATTATGTGAAAGAATCTGAGGGAAACAGAGAGAAGCTGAAGAAATCTGAGAAAATTTGAGAGATTCGGAAAGAATTTGAAGAAATATGAAAGAATCTAAGAAAATCTGAAGAAATATGAAGGAATCTGAGAGAGTCTTGAAGAATTTAAAACAATCTGGAGCAATCTGAAGGAATCTGAGAGAATTTGTGAAATTCAGAAAGAATTCGAAGGAATCTGCGGAAATTTGAGAAAAACTGAGAGAATTTTAAAGAATCTCGAAGAACTTGGAGAATCTGGAGGAATCTGAGAGAATTTGAGAAATTCGGAAAAAAATCGAAGGAATCTGGGAGAATCTGGGGGAATTTGAGAGAATCGAAGCAAATCGAAGGAAGCTGAGAGAATCTGCAGAAATTTGAAGGAATTTGACAGAATTTGAGAGAAACTAACCGAAATTCAGAAATTCAGAAAGAATCTAAAAGAATAATAGGAAGAAATCTGAGAAAATCTGAAAGAATATGAGAGAATCTGAGGAAACCTGCGAGAATTTGGGAGATTCGGAAAGAATCTGAAGAAATATGAAAGAATCTGAGAAAATCTGAGGAAATATGAAAGAATCTGAGAAAATATGAAAGAATCTAAGAGAATCTGAAGGAACCTGAGAGAATCTAAGAGAATCTCGGCAAATCTAGATGAATCTGGAGCAATCTGAAGAAATCTGAGAGAATTTGAGGGAATCTCAGGGAATTTGAGAAAAACTGAAAGAAATTGAAAAATTCGAAAAAAATTTGAAGAAATATGAAGAAATCTGAGAACATCTGAAAGAATTTGAGAGAATTTTCGAGAATTTGGGAGAATCGAAGAAAATGGAAGGAAGCTGAGAGAATCTATGGAAATCTGAGGAAATTTGATAGAATTTGAGAGAAACTAAGAGAAATTGAGAAATTCGGAAAGGATCTAAAAGAATATGAAGAAATCTGAGAAAATCTGAGTGAATTTGATGGCATCTGAGGGAAATTGAGAAATTCGGATAGAATCTCAAGGAATATGAAAGAATCTGAGGAAATCTGAAAGACTCTGAGAGAATCTGAGGAAACCTGCGAGAATATGAGAGAATTTAGAATAATTTGGAGCAATCTGAAGGGATGCGGGAGAATATGAGAAATTCGGAAAGAACCCGAATGAATCTGAGAGAATCTGAGCGGATCAGAGGAAATTTGAGAGAATCTGAGAAAAAATGAGAGATTTTAAAGAACAATTAAGAAATCTGAGAAAATCTGAAAGAATATGAAAAAATCTGAGGAAATCTGAAGGTAATTTGAGGGAATCTGAGGGTATTTGAGGGAATCAGAAAGAAATAGATATATTCGGAAAGAATCTCGAGGAATATGCAAGAATCCAGGAAAATCTGAAACAATCTGAGAGACTTGAGGGAATTTGAGAGCATCTTTGAAATGAATCTGAAGAAACATGAAGAAATCTGAAAGCACCTGAAAATATTTGACAGAATCTGCGAGAATTTGAGAGAATCGAAGAAAATCGAAGGAAGCTGAGAGAATCTGTGGAAATCTGAGGGAATTTGACAGAATCTGAGAGAAATTAAGCGAAATTGAGAAATCTGGAAATAATCTAGAAGAATAGGAAGAAATCTGAGGAAATCTGGAAGAATATGAGAGAAACTGATGGAACCTGCGAGAATCTGATAGAATCTCAAAAAATCTAGAAGAATCTACAGCAATCTGAAGAAATCTGAGAGAATTTGAGAGATTCGGAAAGAATCTGAGAAAATGTGAGAGATTCGGAAAGAATCTGTGGAAATCTGAAGAAATATGAAGGAATCTGAGAATATCTGAAAGAATTTGAGAGAATCTGCGAGAATTTGACAGAATCGAAAAAAATCGAAGGAAGCTGAGAGAATCTGTGGAAATCTGAGGAAATTTGACAGAATCTGAGAAAATTTCAGAGAATCTGAGAGAAACTAAGAGAAATGGGGAAGTTTTAAAAAAATATTAAAAAATCTGAGAAAATCTGAAAGAATTTGAGGGAATTTGAGACAATCGAAGAAAATGGAAGAAAGCTGCAAGAATCTGAAATTTGTCAGAATCTGAGAAAACCAAGAGAACTTGAGAAATTCGGAAATAATCTAAAAGAATAGGAAGAAATCTCAGAAGATCTGAAAGAATATGAGAGAAACCGATGGAACCTGCGAGAATCTGATAGAATCTCAAAAAATTTAGAAGAATCTCGAGTAATCTAAAAGAATCTGAGAGAATTTGAGAAATTCTGAAAGAATCTGAAGAAATATGAAGGAATCTAAGAAAATCTGAAAGAATTTAAAGGAATCTGAGAAAATCTGAAAGAATCTAACAGAATCTGAAAGAACCTGAGACAATTTGAGAAATTCGGAAAAAATTCGAGGGAATCTGCGGGAATTTGAGAGAAACTGAACGAAATTGAGAGATTCGGAAAAAATATGAAGAAATCTGAGAACATCTGAAAGAATTTTAGAGAATCTGCGAGAATTTGAGAGAACTGAAGAAAATTTAAGGAAGCTGAAAGAATCTGTGGAAATCTGAGGAATTGTGACAGAATCTGAGAGAAAATAAGAGAAATTGAGAAATTCGGAAAGAATCTCAAAGATTATGAAAGAATCTGAGCAAATCTGAAAGACTCTGGGAGAATCTGAGGGAACCTGCGAGAATATGAGAGAATTTTAGAGTATCTAAGAAAATCTCTAAGGAGTTGGAGAATCTGAAGGAATCTGAGGGAATTTGAGAAATTCGGAAAGAATTCGGAAAAATCTGGGAAAATCTGAGAGAATATGAGGGAATTTGAGGTAATCTGAGAGAAATCAAGAGAAATTGAGAGATTCAAAAATAATATAAAGGAATAGGAAAAAATATGAGGGAATCTGAATGAATTGGAGGCGATCTGAGAGAAATTGAGAGATTCGGAAAGAATTCGGAGAAAGAAATTGATTGATTCGGAAAGAATCTGAAGAAAAATGAAGAAATCTGAGAATATCTGAAAGAATTTGATGGAATTTGAGAGAATCGAAGAAAATGGAAGAAAGCTGCAAGAATCTGAAATTTGTCAGAATCTGAGAAACCAAGAGAACTTGAGAAATTCGGGAAGGATCTAAAAGAATAGGAAGAAATCTGAGGAAATTTGATGGGGTCTGAGAGAAATTGAGAGATTCAGAAAGAATCTAAAGGAATCTGCGAGAATTTGTGAGAAACTGAGAGAAATGGAGAGATTCGGAAAAAATATGGAGGAATGTAAAGAAATCTGAGAAGATCTTAAAGAATATGGGAGAATTTGAGGAAACCTGTGAGAGTTTGAGAGAATCTGAGAGAATCTCGACAAATTTGGAGAACCTGGAGGAATCTGAGAGAATTTGAGAAATTCGGAAAAGAATCGAAAGAATCTGGGAAAATCTGATGGAATTTGTGGGAATCTGAGAGAAAGTGAGAGAAATTGAGAGATTATTCGGAAAGAACCTGAAGAAATATAAAGAAATCTGAGAAGAACTGAAAGAATTTGAGAGAATCGAAGAAAATCCAAGAAAGCTGAAAGAATTTGAGAAATCTGAGAGAATTTGACGGAATCTGAGAGAAACTATGAAAAATTGAGAAATTCGGAAAGAATCTAAAAGAATAGGAAGAAATCTAAGAAAATCTGAGGGAGTGTGATAGAATTTGACGGAATGTAAGAGAAATTGAGAGATTCGGAAATAATCTAAAGAAATAAGAAGAAATCTGAGAAAACCGGAAAGAATATGAGTGAATCTTAGAGAACCTGCGAGAATCTGATAGAATCTCAAAGAATTTAGAAGAATCTGAAGCAATCAAAGGAACCTGAGAGAATGTGAGAAATTCGGGAAGAATCTGAAGAAATATGAAGGAATCTGAAAAAATCTAAAGAAATATGAAGAAATCTGAGAAAATCTGAAAGAATATGAGAGTCTGAGCGAATTTTTGGGAATCTGATAGAAATTGAAAAGTTCGGATAAAATTTCAAGAAATATGAAAGAGTCTGAGAAAATCTGTAAGAATTTCAGAGAATCTGAGAGAATCTCGAAGAATTTGTGAAGAATCTGAAGGCATCTGAGGGAACCTGAGAGAATCTAAGAAAAGTTTTGAAAGGACTCTCGAAGAATCTAGAAAAACTTGGAAAAATCTAGAGAAATCTGGAAGAATCTGGAAAAATTTGAAAGGATGTGGAAGGATCTTAAACGATCTGAAAGAAACAATTTTTCGAAGAAAGTGCAGTAATAACTCTGCGAGGTCGTATTTATTACAAAAACGAAATTCGTTTTAACGTAAGAAATAACGAAATTTGACCCAAACATTTCGAAAACCAATCCTAATAAAAATGCATCCTACTTGTTTGAAATCCGACGTCGCGTGAGAGTTTGTAAAATAATAAAAATCCTCCATCCTGTCATTTTTATTATTATTTTTTTAATCACAAAGCACCACTCACTTTTAACCGTTATCATTATCCCGGAAGAAGTCGTGCGTTCGAAAAATTCGTCTTCCGGAATCGAACACCACAAAGATTAAAACCATTTAAACGTAAATCACCGACATAAAGGATCATTCGATTTCTCTGTCTGTCTAATTTTCACCAACTCAGCTAAAATTTCGCCACACATACGAGGTGTCCGAATTCAAACAATATTAAAACACTTTCGTAAAAAAAAATGTTAAGTAGGCGAATACTTATTAGCTTATTAGCTTATTACTTATCAGAGAAGATAATCGATTCTAAATTTTCGACACTACTCAGCCAGCAGGGGTCGATTTTTAACGACACTTAGCCACATTAGAGAGTTAATGGCAATTCTTGGCGAGAAAGTCACTGAAAGGGCTTTTCGGGAGAACTAAGCAGGTTCATACTTCACGTTTATTGGACTTTGACTACAATTCTGAATACACTGATAACGCTTTTTTCGAGTTTGGAGTCACAATTCGACTAAACCTTCTGTTGTAACACTAATAATAATTTCAAATCAGGTATCTGCTAGTTAGTAATAAACAGAACAATAAATATTCACTCTGTACCATCAGGCTATTACCATCTGACTTCCGCACTCGAGTCACTTCTGGGTCCATTTGAAAATATACGTCGTTATTAGGATTCAAAAAAATGCACTTTCGTTCCAATTCGCACCCCTTGCAGCCCCTATACATGCGACACACTGCATCTGCTGGACAATACCAATCCATACACGGATCTTCTAGAGACGAACAATCATCATAGGCTGAAAAATCCACCCTTATCTATTTTACCGTTAAAACAACCCACTGAACTTACTCACATCCACACAAACATTTTGAATGCAACAACCACCACAGCACAGTTCTGAATCAGAACACTGATGAGAAATAAATTATTATTTAAACTGTAGTTTGTTTATTTTATTTATTTACCCATTCTCCGCGTGTTTTGCACGATTGAGCTCCGCCTAAAGAAACCAAAACAGAAAAACAGCCACTCAAAAATACGAACTTTGCGAAATACATGGTTCTACAACACTGGCTAAAATACTTGTGAAAAGGAACACAACAGGACAGAGGCGTATCCTTCACATGATTAATTTAAGCGTGATAATTGCAAAAAGGAGTAAACAAATAGAAAGCCGGGTCGGTGTTTATGTAGGGTTTTTACGGTTGCTGCGAGCTCCGAAAGAATAAGCAACAAAGAGAGATTTTGCGGATTACTAGGTGACATTGAGAGGTTACAAATATTTTACTTAATTCAACAAAGTAATCGCATTCATCTGTGTACGAAAACAAACAGAAGTGAATAATCCAAATTCTGCTATTCATCGCGATCAGGTCGTAAATATCAAAGGTCGAAAAAAAGCGACTCATCGTCAGCTTAGAACGAAAGTCGATGACAATCTCATCGATCATTCGATCTTGTTCTTCACATCTATTGTGGAGTGGAGGTAATTGATAAACATTTCCTGAACGGGCTATTATTAGCAACTTGCCTTTGCCCTCATCGGCTGATAAATAAAAAATTTAAATAAACTACTATTAGCGCTAATAGCTTATTGTGTGGCCATTAATTATACGATAGCATTAAAATTTCTGCTGTAATGATGAGTTCGGTAAAAAGTCGAGCTATTACATAAATGATTATGATAAAAAAGTGAAATGTTGCAAAACGCATAAACTGGGTGAGTTGCTGAAGTCGTAGTCATTTGTTTAATGAATTATGACGTAACTGTGCCAGTAGCAGGTAGAAGCTCCGAAAATTTTTATAGAAAACAAGAATAAGCAATTTTGAAGGTTGTAACGTACAGAAAAAATAGCTAGAGCAATTACGCGTGTGTACATTGCTCTGTGATTATTTTCTATGAAAGTAGTCATTGTGAACAGCAACGGTTATAATTAAAAAGTTGATTTATTAAGCTATTAAGGGCAATTAAAGGTTGAACAGGAGCTATTACTGCGTCACTTTTCGTATATTACTTTTTAATTTATGTAAATACTCCTAGAAAATAATTTTACGTAACATGTTAAAGTTTTCGAGTAAATGCCTGTTGACATTAATATTTCTAGATTTATACATCTATTGATATTTAAAATTAACATGACATTATCTAAATGAAAAATGTACTGGAGGTCCTAAGATTATTTCCATTCTTTAAAAAATCGAAATCTACAAGAAAATGACTTTAGGTAAACAACCATAAAAAGCAAAAAATATAGCGTGTTTTTCAAAATATTTGCTCTCAGAGTCAAATTTTTCAAGTATATCCCAAAATTTTCCATTTTCCATTTTTGGGGATTCTGGAAAAAATGCAGTTATCGAAGAAATGAAAGCGGATATGACTTCTGCGGCCCGAAATCTACAAGAAAATGTATTTAGTGAAATTTCGAAAATTTCGTTGAAAATTGGTCGAAAATTGATTTTCGTGTATTTCAAAGGCCGATTCTGGAAAAACCAATGGAGTTACATTTTTGGGGATTCTGGAAAAATGCAGAATTTTTGGAAGAAATGAAGTCTAAAATAGCTTTTAGACGTGGAAACCAACAAAAGAATGTCTTGTGGTAATTTTTGAAAGTGCTAGGAAAACTCAAAATTTTCATACATGAAAAATTGAGTTTTTGTCAAAAAAATACATGAAAATATAACGTCTTGAGGGTTTAGGGCAAGATTTTCAAAATATTCGCTTTCAAAGTCAAATTTTTAAATTATTCTAAAGATCTCCACATTTCATTTTAGCGATTCAGAAAAAAATGGTTCGAATTCGAAGGAATGTAGCTAAAAATAACACTTGTAAGGCGAAGTCAAGAAAAAAGTCTCTTTGGGCAATTTTCGAAGGTGCTTGAGAGAGATCATAAATTTCGCCCACATCCAACTTAGGCAAAAGCTCAAATTTTTTGAAAATTCGCGCGTTTGTCAAAAATGCCTAAAAATACACAAACTTATTCCTAAAACAACCCGTAAATAGACCCAGAGCACAATTTTCGGAATTTTCGATTTCAAAATAAAAGTTCTAAAATTTCCCAAAATGACCATATTTGATTTTGGTGAATCTTTGAAAGAGGTTGAAATTTTGAACGAAATATTTCCGAAAATAACTTCCGTAGTTTGATATAAACAAATGAATATTTTCTGGAAATTTTCAAAAGTTTTTCGAAAAAAGTCAAAAATTTCATACATGAAAAATTGAGCTTTTGGCAAAGTTCTGTAAAAATTCACAAAAATTCTGAAATATACATCGCGATGAACTGAATCGGAAAATATATCTTGTTGATGGTTTAGGACGAAGTTTTTCAAAATATTCGCTCCCAAAGTAAAATTTTTCAAGTGCTCCATAAAATTTCATTTCCTATTTTGGGTGATTCTTGAAAAAAGTTAGGATTTTAGAAATGAAAACCAACAAAAGAATATCTTGTGGTAATTTTCGAAAGTGCTCGGAAAAAAGTAAAAAACTCCATACGTGAAAAATTCAACTTTTTGGCAAGTTCCCTAAATATTCAGAAACAATTCTAGATACACATCTCGACGAGCTGAATCTGGAAATGGAAACAGAATATCTTCTGGTAATTTTCGTCAGTGCTGGGGAAAATGTCAAAAATTTCACACACGGAAAACTGAGATTTTTGTCAAAGATCTCTAACAATCAGCAAAAAATTCTGGAATATAACTAGATCGGGACGAGCTGAATCGAAAAACATAACGTCTTGAGAATTTAGGGCAAGATTTTCAAAATATTCGCTTTCAAAGTCAAATTTCTAAATTATTCTAAAGATTTCCACATTTCATTTTAGCGATTCAGAAAAAAATAGTTCGAATTCGAAGAAATGTAGCTAAAAATAACACTTGTAAGTCGAAATCAAGAAAAAAGTTTCTTTGGGCAATTTTCGAAGGTGCTTGAGAGAGATCATAAATTTCGCCCACATCCAACTTTGGCAAAAGCTCAAATTTTTTGAAAATTCGCGCGTTTGTCACAAATGCCTAAAAATACACAAACGTATCCCTAAAACAATCCGTAAATAGAGCCAGAGCAAAATTTTCGGAAGTTTCGATTTCAAAATAAAAGTGCTAAAATTTCCCAAAATGACCATATTTGATTTTGGTGATTCTTTAAAAGAGGTTGAAATTTTGGACGAAATATTTCCGAAAATAACTTCCGTAATTTGAAATAAACAAATGAATATTTTCTGGAAATTTTCAAAAGTTTTTCGAAAAAAGCCAAAAATTTCATACATGAAAAATTGAGCTTTTGGCAAAGTTCTCTAAAAATTCACAAAAATTCTGAAACATACATTGCGATGAACTAAATCGGAAAATATATCTTGTTGATGGTTTAGGACGAAGCTTTTCAAAATATTCGCTCCCAAAGTAAAATTTTTCAAGTGCTCCATAAAATTTCATTTCCTATTTTGGGTGATTCTTGAAAAAAGTTAGGATTTTAGAAATGAAAACCAACAAAAGAATATCTTGTGGTAATTTTCGAAAGTGCTCGGAAAAAAGTCAAAAATTCCATACATGAAAAATTCAACTTTTTGGCAAGTTCCCTAAATATTCAGAAAAAATTCTAGATACACATCTCGACGAGCTGAATCTGGAAATGGAAACAGAGTATCTTCTGGTAATTTTCGTCAGTACTGGGAAAAATGTCAAAAATTTCACACACTAAAAATTGAGATTTTTGTCAAAGGTCTCTAGAAATCAGCAAAAAATTCTGGAATATAGATCGGAACGAGCTGAATCGAAAAACATAACGTCTTGAGGGTTTAGAGCAAGATTTTCAAAATATTCGCTTGCAGAGTCAAATTTCTAAATTATTCTAAAGATTTTCACACTTCATTTTGGCGATTCAAAAAAAATGGTTCGAATTCGAAGAAATGAAGCTAAAAATAACTCTTGTAAGTCGAAATCAAGAAAAAAATCTCTGAGCAATTTTCGAAAGTGCTTGAGAGAAATCATAAATTTCGCCCGCATCCAACTTAGGCAAAAGCTCAAATTTTTTGAAAATTCGCGCGTTTGTCAAAAATGCCTAAAAATACACAAACTTATTCCTAAAACAACCCGTAAATAGACCCAGAGCAAAATTTTCGGAATTTTCGATTTCAAAATAAAAGTGCTAAAATTTCCCAAAATGACCATATTTGATTTTGGTGATTCTTTAAAAGAGGTTGAAATTTTGGACGAAATATTTCCGAAAATAACTTCCGTAATTTGAAATAAACAAATGAATATTTTCTAGAAATTTTCAAAAGTTTTTCGAAAAAAGTCAAAAATTTCATACATGAAAAATTGAGCTTTTGGCAAAGTTCTCTAAAAATTCACAAAAAATTCTGAGATATACATCGCGGTGAACTGAATCGGAAGATATATGTTGTTAATGGTTTAGGACGAAGCTTTTCAAAATATTCGCTCCCAAATTAAAATTTTTCAAGTGCCCCATAAAATTTCATTTCCTGTTTTGGGTGATTCTTGAAAAAAGTTAGGATTTTAGAAATGAAAACCAACAAAAGAATATCTTGTGATAATTTTCGAAAGTGCTCGGAAAAAAGTCAAAAATTCCATACATGAAAAATTCAACTTTTTGGCAAGTTCCCTAAATATTCAGAAAAAATTCTAGATACACATCTCGACGAGCTGAATCTGGAAATGGAAACAGAATATCTTCTGGTAATTTTCGTCAGTGCTGGGGAAAATGTCAAAAATTTCACACACGGAAAATTGAGATTTTTGTCAAAGATCTCTAACAATCAGCAAAAAATTCTGGAATATAGATCGGGACGAGCTGAATCGAAAAACATAACGTCTTGAGAATTTAGGGCAAGATTTTCAAAATATTCGCTTTCAAAGTCAAATTTCTAAATTATTCTAAAGATTTCCACATTTCATTTTAGCGATTCAGAAAAAAATGGTTCGAATTCGAAGAAATGTAGCTAAAAATAACACTTGTAAGTCGAAATCAAGAAAAAATTCTCCTTGGGCAATTTTCGAAAGTGCTTGAGAGAGATCATAAATTTCGCCCACATCCAACTTAGGCAAAAGCTCAAATTTTTTGAAAATTCGCGCGTTTGTCAAAAATGCCTAAAAATACACAAACTTATTCCTAAAACAACCCGTAAATAGACTCAGAGCAAAATTTTCGGAATTTTCGATTTCAATATAAAAGTTCTAAAATTTCCCAAAATGACCATATTTCATTTCGGTGATTTTTTAAAAGAGGTTGAAATTTTGGGCGAAATGTTTCCGAAAAATAACTTCTGTAAGTTGAAATCAACAAATGAATATTTTCTGGAAATTTTCATAAGTTTTTCGAAAAAAGTAAAAAATTTCATACATGAAAAATTGAGCTTTTGGCAAAGTTCTCTAAAAATTCACAAAAATTCTGAGATATACATCGCGGTGAACTGAATCGGAAAATATATGCTGTTAATGGTTTAGGACGAAGCTTTTCAAAATATTCGCTCCCAAATTAAAATTTTTCAAGTGCCCCATAAAATTTCATTTCCTATTTTGGGTGATTCTTGAAAAAAGTTAGGATTTTAGAAATGAAAACCAACAAAAGAATATCTTGTGGTAATTTTCGAAAGTGCTCGGAAAAAAGTCAAAAATTCCATACATGAAAAATTCAACTTTTTGGCAAGTTCCCTAAATATTCAGAAAAAATTCTAGATACACATCTCGATGAGCTCAATCTGGAAATGGAAACAGAGTATCTTCTGGTAATTTTCGTCAGTACTGGGAAAAATGTCAAAAATTTCACACACTAAAAATTGAGATTTTTGTCAAAGGTCTCTAGAAATCAGCAAAAAATTCTGGAATATAGATCGGAACGAGCTGAATCGAAAAACATAACGTCTTGAGGGTTTAGAGCAAGATTTTCAAAATATTCGCTTACAAAGTCAAATTTCTAAATTATTCTAAAGATTTTCACACTTCATTTTGGCGATTCAAAAAAAAAATGGTTCGAATTCGAAGAAATGAAGCTAAAAATAACACTTGTAAGTCGAAATCAAGAAAAAAGTCTCTTTGGGCAATTTTCTAAAGGGCTTGAGAGAGATCATAAATTTCGTCCACATCCAACTTAGGCAAAAGCTCAAATTTTTGAAAATTTGAGCTTTTGGCAAAAATGCCTAAAAATACACAACCTTATTCCTAAAACAACCTATAGATAGACCAAGAGCAAAATTTTCCAAAGTTTCGATTTCAAAATAAAAGTTCTAAAATTTCCCAAAAATGACCATAATTCATTTCGCTGATTCTTTAATGGAGGTTGGAATTTTGGACGAAATATTTCCGAAAATAACTTTTGTAATTTGTAGTCAACAAAAGAATATCTTTTGGAAATTTTCAAAAGTTTTCCGAAAAAGGTCAAAAATTTCATACATCAAAAACTGAGCTTTTGGCAAAGTTCTCTAAAAATCCACAAAAATTCTAAGATATACTTCGCGATGAACTTAATCGGAAAATGGAGCTTGTCAATGGTTTAGGACGAAATTTTTCAAAATATTCGCTCCCAAATTCAAATTTTTCAAGTAGACCAAAAATTCCATATTCTATTTTGGGCGATTCTTGACAAAAGTTACGATTTTTCGATGAAATGAAGCCAAAGTCACTTCTAGAAATGGAAACCAACGAAAGAATATCTTGCGGTAATTTTCGAAAGTGCTTGGAAAAAAGTCAAAAATTACATACATGAAAAATTCAACTTTTTGGCAAGTTCCCTAAATATTCTGAAAACATTCTAGATACACATCTCGACGAGCTGAATCTGGAAATGGAAACAGAGTATCTTCTGGTAATTTTCGTCAGTACTGGGAAAAATGTCAAAAATTTTACACACTAAAAATTGAGATTTTTGTCAAAGGTCTCTAGAAATCAGCAAAAAATTCTGGAATGTAGATCGGAACGAGCTGAATCGAAAAGCATAACGTCTTGGGGGTTTAGGGCAAGATTTTCAAAATATTCGCTTTCAAAGTCAAATTTCTTAATTATTCTAAAGATTTTCAAACTTCATTTTGGCGATTCAAAAAAAAATGGTTGAATTCGAAGAAATGTAGCTAAAAATAACACTTGTAAGTCGAAATCAAGAAAAAGTCTCTTTGGGCAATTTTCGAAGGTGCTTGAGAGAGATCATAAAATTCGCCCACATCCAACTTAGGCAAAAGCTCAAATTTTTTGAAAATTCGCGCGTTTGTCAAAAATGCCGCAAAATACACAAACTTATTCCTAAAACAACCTGTAGATAGACCCAGAGCACAATTTTCAGAATTTTCGATTTCAAAATAAAAGTTCTAAAATTTCCCAAAATGACCATATTTCATTTCGGTGATTTTTTAAAAGAGGTTGAAATTTTGGGCGAAATATTTCCGAAAATAACTTCCGTAATTTGAAATAAACAAATGAAAATTTTCTGGAAATTTCCAAAAGTTTTTCGAAAAAAGTCAAAAATTTTATACATGAAAAATTGAGCTTTTGGCAAAGTTCTCTAAAAATTCACAAAAATTCTGAAATATACATCGCGATGAACTGAATCGGAAAATATATGTTGTTGATGGTTTAGGACGAAGCTTTTCAAAATATTCGCTCCCAAAGTAAAATTTTTCAAATGCCCCATAAAATTTCATTTCCTATTTTGGGTTATTCTTGAAAAAAGTTAGGATTTTAGAAATGAAAACCAACAAAAGAATATCTTGTGGTAATTTTCGAAAGTGCTCGGAAAAAAGTCAAAAATTCCATACATGAAAAATTCAACTTTTTGGCAAGTTCCCTAAATATTCAGAAAAAATTCTAGATACACATCTCGATGAGCTGAATCTGGAAATGGAAACAGAGTATCTTCTGGTAATTTTCGTCAGTACTGGGAAAAATGTCAAAAATTTCACACACTAAAAATTGAGATTTTTGTCAAAGGTCTCTAGAAATCAGCAAAAAATTCTGGAATATAGATCGGAACGAGCTGAATCGAAAAACATAACGTCTTCAGGGTTTAGAGCAAGATTTTCAAAATATTCGCTTTCAAAGTCAAATTTCTAAATTATTCTAAAGATTTTCACATTTCATTTTAGCGATTCAGAAAAAAATGGCTCGAATTCGAAGAAATGTAGCTAAAAATAACACTTGTAAGTCGAAATCAAGAAAAAAGTCTCTTTGGGCAATTTTCGAAGGTGCTTGAGAGAGATCATAAATTTCGCCCACATCCAACTTAGGCAAAAGCTCAAATTTTTTGAAAATTCGCGCGTTTGTCAAAAATGCCCAAAAATACACAAACTTATTCCGAAAACAACCCGTAAATAGACCCAGAGCAAAATTTTCGGAATTTTCGATTTCAAAATAAAAGTTCAAAAATTTCGCAAATTGATCATATTTCATTTCGGTGATTCTTTAAAAGAGGTTGAAATTTTGGGCGAAATGTTTCCGAAAAATAACTTCTGTAAGTTGAAATCAACAAATGATTATTTTCTGGAAATTTTCAAAAGTTTTTCGAAAAAAATCAAAAATTTCATACATGAAAAATTGAGCTTTTGGCAAAGTTCTCTAAAAATTCACAAAAAATTCTGAGATATACATCGCGGTGAACTGAATCGGAAAATACATGTTGTTAATGGTTTAGGACGAAGCTTTTCAAAATATTCGCTCCCAAAGTAAAATTTTTCAAGTGCCCCATAAAATTTCATTTCCTATTTTGGGTGATTCTTGAAAAAAGTTAGGATTTTAGAAATGAAAACCAACAAAAGAATATCTTGTGGTAATTTTCGAAAGTGCTCGGAAAAAAGTCAAAAATTCCATACATGAAAAATTCAACTTTTTGGCAAGTTCCCTAAATATTCAGAAAAAATTCTAGATACACATCTCGTCGAGCTGAATCTGGAAATGGAAACAGAGTATCTTCTGGTAATTTTCGTCAGTACTGGGAAAAATGTCAAAAATTTCACACCAAAAATTGAGATTTTTGTCAAAGGTCTCTAGAAATCAGCAAAAAATTCTGGAATATAGATCGGAACGAGCTGAATCGAAAAACATAACGTCTTGAGGGTTTAGGGCAAGATTTTCAAAACATTCTCCTTCAAAGTCAAATTTCTAAATTATTCTAAAGATTCGAATTCGAAGAAATGTAGCTAAAAACAACTCTTTTAAGTCGAAATCAAGAGAAAAATCTCTTTGGGTAATTTTCGAAAGTGCTTGAGAGATATCATAAATTTCACCCACATCCAACACAGGCAAAAGCTCCTAAAAATACACAAACTTATTCCTAAAACAACCTGTAGATAGACCAAGAGCAACATTTTCTTAATTTTCGATTTCAAAATAAAAGTTCTAAAATTTTTCAAAATGGCTAAGTATATTTCATTTCGGTGATTATTTAAAAGAGGTTCAAATTTTGGACGAAATATTTCTGAAAATAACTTAATTTTCGAAATTTTATCTGATAAAGTCATCAATAGACAGACAGACACAAACGGGAACCTACTTTTTCATCACTGTTGCTCTGAGACTAAAAAATGGCAATCCATATTTGTTATTTATAGCAAGTTTTCAATAGCAAAAAGCAACTTATCTTTATCAGTTGTCAGAAAAAACGCCAATTTTTTATTGATGTTTAGTTGTTAATCTTTGCGACACATGGATTTTATTAGCGTTCAAAAAATGAAATAAATAAACAAATAAATAAGATAACGTGGACTAATGCAGCTTGCACTACAGAAAACTAGCGCTCCTACTCTTAAAATATAAGTTGTTAATTCCATTATGGATTAGTCAGGATTATTAGAGTTCCACCTATTCGACTCTTGAAATATCTCTTTTAAGCGGCTTATTAAAGTTTTAATTTGTAAGAAAATTGTTCGGATTATTTTCCCATTATAGTTTTCTTCCATTGTTATCATATTCTCAGAAAATGCTTCAACTAGATCCGTCCAAAGTGCCCGATAACAACAGGTAAATACTAAACAGCTTTAACCTTACTTTAACTCACGCCCTATTAAAATACGACGTGGTATTTTTACAAGACTTTAAACTTTAAATTTGAACACACTAGTTTTAGTTGAGTAAGAGCCAACTCCAACTCCTTGGTTTTTTTTGTTCGCTTGATATTGAAACCGTGATTTTAAAATCAGTTAGAATAACCTCTGCTATTACTTAAAAAAGAAATACCTGTACGTAAAAAACAAGTTAAAAAATGTGTCGTACTTATATAAAGTGTTCCGAATGTGCATAATTTAATTTCGGAAAACCGTTATGTCCAATAAAAGTCGTCACTTTTTCGCTGAAACTCGTGTTCTCTCCGAAATTGGGTTATGTTGACCGTCGCACCTTTCCACTCACCATCTGCCCCCCGTCCGGCCACCTGTCCCCGCACCGTTTCGCCTCTCCCTCGTCCATCTTCATCCGCCGCCTTCGCGCCGTCCCCAGGCCGCTCCGTGCAAAGACCATGCGGCAACCGACCAAACTTATCTAATTATATAACCATATTCTGTGCTATTCGAATCCAGTTACCTTGCGTTAGACTGTACATACCCTTCTCCGCGATTGGTGCTCGGCTCAGGTAGAACCAGTCTACGCGGCCCCTTCATACGTCCGCGCCGCAAAGAAAATTGAGGCTACGAGTTACCTGGACGACAAAATCGCTCGAAAACTTATTCGGCGACTGTTAAACCCGTCAAATGCGTAGAAGGCTGTGAGTTGGTTCGAACAAGGTGGTGCGTACCTGCCCGAAATCGGGATCTAGTGTGTCGTGTGCAGTGCAGTGCCCGAAGTACCCAAAAACGAGCCCGGTTGTGATTTTCGCGAGTTTAGGTTAGGGCGAATGTCGCACATTTCTCCGTCTGTGATAGCATCGGCCGAGATAAGAGATAAGAGCTGCGGTGCCCGATTCCGACGAGACACGCCAGAGCTGCCCGAAATCCAACAGGTGTCACGTGGCAACATGTCGGGCCGCTGTTTATAGGCACAGCCAGCATGATGTGTGTTGATGGCGCTTGAGAAGTAGGAACAAATGAGCATTAAAGGCCTTAACATGATCGGGCCCCACCATGTTTGCGTCCTGTACGTGGCCACCGCGGGCCTGCAGGGCTCCCTCATGGGCTCCGACGAGCAGGAGGTCGTCCTACTCATCTATGTCATCGTCGACGTGCTGCAGAACAAGGTAATGCCGTTTTTGCAAAATATAGACGCTTGCTGTCACATTCTGTGTGCAGGATTGCAACCTGAAAACGCTACGGTCCGAGATTCGCTTAGCCGGTCACTAAAACAAAGCACGATTCCGGTACACTGCTAAAATAAGTTTTACGTAGGTGAAAAATAGTCTTTTTTCAAGAATTTAGCACACCTCCATTTGATTTTCAAAATTCCAGAAAATTGTATAATGTTCATTTAATTTTTGGAAAGTCAAGGATTACTTCTAGCGACTCGGTTTTTTAGCCAGATTTTCAAATTTGTGTGGATATTAAGTTTTTGTAAGATGCTATAAAGATAAATTTAAATTTTCGTCTATATTTTAGAATGTCAACAATTTATCCTTCAACCCATGCTACTTCATTATCGAGTATTAACTTTTTAATAAATTCGTAGTGCGCATTAAATTTTGAAATATAGCATATACCTACAGGACAAATAAAAATTCGTCCTAGTTTATACCTTCATTTCACTCTGTTGGTGGTTTTAACTGGTGTTTATGAGATATTTAGCTGCTGGTATAAGCCATGCTATAATTATAATTCATTTAATAATATGTTTTGATAGTCCAGTTTTTTTGTTTTATAGTTTTTATTTTATTATTATTTACGCAATAAGTTGACTACACTTTCAAACAAGATTGTCCTCAAACTACTTTTAAAAATTCAGTGCATAAATGTGGTTTTAAGGGGAAAAACCCACTTTTGATAAATCCACTCTTTTAGAGAATTCCGAAAGGGTTAGTTTTGGCCTTCCTTTTTATCGTTTGTAGAGAAACGAGGGTTTTGCAATTAAGCTCCGCCCACCGGCTCACAACGAATTAAAAAATCATCACAATTGGGTATACGTAGTTTTCTGTTCACGACAAGAAACTGAAAACTTTGTCCTTATTACATCTTATATTAATATTATACAAAAATCTAATATAATACGGAAAAAGTTTTGGACTTTTTCAAATAGTCTCTGAATCTAATAAAATTTAAACCAATAGAATGTGATGAGAGCTATTTTTTATATTTTAGGAATTCAGAACCGATGATTTCTTCTATAAAAACGAGAATTTTGCAATTAAGCTCCTCCCACTGGCTCACGATGAATAAAAAAAGTCATCAGAATTGTGATAGGGCGGGTGGGCGGGGCTTATACTTGGTCCTTTTTTCTTAATATACGTAGTTTTCTTTTCATGACAACTATATTTTATATATCTGGCCCTATTATATTTTATATTATTAATATTATATGACTTTTATATAAAAAAAAACAATATATTTAATATGGAATAGGTTTTGGACTTTTACGGTCGACATTCTATAAAAAAAGTCAAATAATTTCTGAAACTAATAAAATTTAAACTAATATGTATTGAGAGCTATTTTTTTATATTTTAGGAATTTAGAATCGACGATTTCTTCTAGAGAAACGAGGATTTTGCAGTTAAGTTCCTCCTACTGGCTCACGGCGAATAAAAAAGATCATCACAATTGAGATAGGGCGGGTGGGCGGGGCTTATATTTTATCTTTTTTTGTTAATATACGTGGTTTTTTTTTGCACGACAGAAAACTGAAAACATGTTTAAAAAAGTGGCAAATGAGCGCAAAACCACTGTCCTTATTACATTTTATATTAATATTATGTGACTTTTATAAAAAAAACTAATATACTTAATATGGAATAGGTTTTGGACTTTTACGGTCAATATTCTATAAAAAAAAGTCAAACACATATTCTGCAGCTAATAAAATATAAACTAATATGTGTTGAGAGCTATTTTTTATATTTTAGAAATTTAGAATGGATGATTTCTTTTATAAAAACGAGAATTTTGCAGTCAAGCTCCCCCCACTGGCTCACGACGAATAAAAAAAATCATCAGAATTGAGATAGGGCGGGTGGGCGGGGCTTATACTTGGCCCTTTTCTCTTAATATACGTAGTTTTCTTTTCATGACAATTATATTTTATATATTTCGCCCTATTATATTTTATATTATTAATATTATATGACTTTCATAAAAAAATTAATACATTTAATATGGAATAGGTTTTGGACTTTTACGGTCGACATTCTATAAAAAAAGTCAAATACTTTCTGAAATTAATAAAATTTAAACTAATATGTGTTGAGAGCTATTTTTTATATATGTATTAGGAATTTAGAATCGATCATTTCTTCTAGAAAAACGAGGATTTTGCAGTTAAGCTCCTCCCACTGGCTCACGACGAATAAAAAAAATCATCACAATTGAGATAGGGCGGGTGGGCGGGGCTTATATCATGTTTTTGTTTTGTTTACATAGTTAGGTAGTTTTCTTTTCACGACAAGAAACTGAAAACTTGTTTAAAAAAGTGGTAAACGTCCCTATTACATTTTATATTAATATTACATATCTAACTTTTATAAAAAAATCTAATATGATACTTTTTCAGTCGACATTCCATAAAAAAATCAAATATTTTCTGGAGCTAATAAAATTTAAAGTAATATGTGTTGAGAGCTATTTTTTATATTTTAGGAATTCAGAACTGATGATTTTTTCTTGAAAAACGAGGATTTTGCAATTAAACTCCTCCCACCGGCTCAAGACGAATAAAAAATCACAATTGAGATAGGGCGGGTGGGCGGAGCTTATATTTTGCCTTTTTTGTAGTTTTATTTGCACGACAGTGAAAAGACGTTTAAAAAAGCGGTAAATGACCGCAAAACCACTGTCCCTATTACATTTTGTATTAATATTATATGACTAAAAAAAATCTAATACATATACTTAATATGGAATAGGTTTTGGACTTTTACAGTCTACATTCTATAAAAAATGTCAAATATTCTGAAGCTAATAAAATTTAAACTAAGGAATATGTCTTGAGAGCTATTTTAGGAATTCAGAACCGATGATTTCTTGTAGAAAAACGAGGATTTTGCAGTTAAGCTCCTCCCACTGGCTCACGACGAATAAAAAAAATCATTACAATTGAGACAGGGCGGGCGGGCGGGGCTTATATTTTGCCCCTTTTTATTAATACACGTAGTTTTCTTTTTACGACAAGAAACTGTAAACTTTTTCAAAGTGATGGTAAACGACCGCAAAACCACTGTCCCCATTACATTTTATATTAATATTATATGACTTTTATAAAAAAAATCTAACATAATACGCAGCAGGTTTTGGATTTTTACAGTCGAAATTCTATAAAAAAAGTAAAATATTTTCTGAAACTAATAAAATTTAATCTAATATGTGTTGAGGGCTACTTTTTTATATTGAAAGGATTCAGAATCGCTGATTTCTTCTAGAAAAACGAGGAATTTGCAATTAAGCTCCGCCCACCGGCCCACGACGAATAAAAAACATTATCACACCTCTTTTTCTCGCAAAAATGTACCATTTTAACCATGTTCTAAGTTTCTTGTTATGAAAAGATGGCTATACGTACATTAAGAAAAAAAGATAAAATATAAGCCCCGCCCACCCGCCCTATCTCAATTCGGATGATTTTTTTTATTCGTCGTGAGCCAAGAGGGCGGAGCTTGGCTGCAAAATCCTTACTCTCTAAGAGAAATTAAAAACATGTTTTTGAGTATCGTGGTATTCAAAAAATACTATGTGGATATATTAAGAAAAAAATAAAGCCACAAATCATCACAATTGAGATAGGGCGGGTGGGTGGGGCTTATATTATGCCTTTTTTTTCTTAATATGCGTAGTTTTCTTTTCACCACAAGAAACTGGAAACTTTCTACTTTTTATATTAATATTATACGACTTTTATAAAAAAATCTAATATAATACGGAAAAAGTTTTGGATTTTACGGTCGACATTCTATAAAAACAAGTCAAATATTTTCTGAAGGTAATAATAATTCGGAACCGATGATTTCTTCTATAAAAACGAGGATTTTGCAATTAAGCTCCTCCCACTGGCTCACGACGAATAAAAAAAAATCATCAGAATTGAGATAGGGCGGGTGGGTGGGGCTTATGTTTTGCTTTTTTTTCTTAATACACCTAGTTTTCTTTTCATGACAAGAAACTGAAAACTTCTGGCCCTATTACATTTTATATTAATATTATATGACTTTTATAAAAAAAAAAAAACACTAATATATTTAATATGGAATAGATTTTGGACTTTTACGATCGACATTCTATAAAAAAGTTAAATACTTTCTTAAACTAATAAAATTTAAACTAATATGAGTTGAGAGCAATTTTTTATATTTTAGGAATTCAGAATGGATGATTTGTTCTAGACAAGGAGGATTTTGCATTTAAGGTCCGCCCACCAGCTCTTGACGAATAAAAAAAATCATCAGACATCTTTTCCTTGCAAAAACGTACCATTTTGACCATCTAAGTTTCTTGTTATGAAAAGATGGCTATTAGTACGTTAAGAAAAAAGTCAAAATATAAGCCCCGCCCACCCGCCCAGTCTCAGTTCTGATGATTTTTTTATTCGTCGTTAGCCAAGGGGGCGGAGCTTAGCTGCAAAATCCTTACTCTCTCAATGAAATTAAAAACATGTTTTTGAGTATCGTGTTGTTCAAAGAATACTATGTAGGTATATTAAGAAAAAAATAAAGCCAAAAATCATCACAAGTGAGATAGGGTGGGTGGGCGGGGCTTATATTTTGCCTTTTTTTCTTAATATGCGTAGTTTTCTCTTCACGACAAGAAACTGGAAACTTTCTACTTTTCATATTAATATTATACGACTTTTATAAAAAAATCTAATGTAATACGGAAAAAGTTTTGGATTTTTACGGTCGACATTCTATAAAAAAAAGTCAAATATTTTCTGAAGGTAATAATAATTCAGAATCGATGATTTTTTCTAGAAAAACGAGGGTTTTGCAATTAAGCTCCGCCCACAGGCTGACGACGAATAAAAATAATGATCACAATTGAAACAGAGCGCGTAGGCGTGGCTTATATTTTGCTTTTTTTTCTTAATATACATACCTAGTTCTTTTTC